GGGACCGTCAGCAATCCATCCATCCTCCCTGTGCCTCAGTTTCCCCATCTGTAAAATAGGCACGATACCACCTTGTTGAGGCATGCAGCGAGGCTTCGATGCTTGCATCCGATCCAAGACATAATTAGATCGAACACACTCAACGCTCAATACTAATTAAGTGTCTTCATTAGCCAGGCCCTGTGCTTATATTTGGCATACACCAGCTCCACACCCCTCCCCCTTGCCCTGCAGTGACAAGGCTACTCTAGTCCTACCACTGTGTGCTCTGCAAAGGCTGGGCAGAGTTGGCTGGCGCCAGGCACTGACAACACTGCATAAGGGATGAGCGATTTTTCTAAGCGATTATTTCTGCTGTGGTAAAGTCTGACCACGATCAAGGCCCTATCATGTGAGATGCTGCACATAGCCGCCGGGGAGACAGCTCCTGATCCAAAGCGCTTGCACTCCTGTAGGCGAGACCCTAGCTTCCCTAGCTCCCCTCGCTCTTCTTCTTCTCCAACATCCTAGAATTAGCAAAGAAAGGCAGGGCAGGGTCATGGGGCAGTCCCAGCAGCTGGAAAGGCCGGGCAGATCTTACTGGCCTGTACCTTTAATGCTGCTAACCTCAGTCTCCAGCACTAATGCTGCTCTTTAAGCCATTTCAGTCATGCAATACTAATATTTACTGTTGGCATTCAGAGCGTGACGGCAATATTGATCCTTCCTCCTTGCTCACCCTTTTAGCTAGTCTCACCTGTCTAATCAACCTTGTCTAAAGGGCTTTTCTACAGTGCATCCGTATGCCTTTAGGTGCTCCGTACCTATAGAATCACACGTGCCCTCTCACTTGCAGCTTGTTTTCTTTTTCCCCATATAAGAAGGCTCATCCCTCGGTCTGTCTGAAAACAGGTAGTCCCCTAGCACAGCCAGCTCTGGGCAGGCTATTAGCAGCCCTTGCAAGATGCAGACTGGTGAAGACAGATGGCTGCCGCAGTATTTTGTATCCTAATTATCCCTTCTTTTACTTGATTAAAAAAATACAATGTTCACAGCCCCCCTCCTCCCTAGGTTCAGCACAGGCTGGTGAGACGGGGAAGTGAGGAAATAAAACCCGCACGCAAACATGTCACTGGTAGCAGCAGGTAAAGCGCGGCGTGACAGATTTAGGAGAAACCAGTGGGCGTCTTGTTTGCCGGCACCATGGTCTTTAAATCCCTCCCAGCACCGCTCTGTGCCTCTCAGGATGGGTGATCTAAGAGATGTGAACGTGCAGCGCGCTATCCACGTCTCGTGATACTGAATGTCTCAACCTGAGATGGTTTAAAGGGGCCTGATCTGCCAGGAGAGTGGAGAGGAGGGGAAGAGGTAGACAGCCTCTTCCCCTCCCAAGTAACCGTGCCCCTCTCTGCTTCCCCCAGCCCAAAACATCCAAGCATCCTCCCAGGTCTGGGGCAGAGGTTTCATAAACCAGTTTGACCCAAATGAGTGAGGTCTGATACTACCTTCAACCAGGTTTATCTTAAACCAGTTTCAGCCATTTTAAAACCGGTTGATGCGCACTGAACTTGTGTTCTGTTACAGGTTTAAACCAGTTTCTGGTCACTTAAACTGATTCACGTGTAACTTCTGTCCCTAGCCCCAATGCTCTGGTGAGGTAGGACAGAGCTATTATCCCCGTTACACAGATGGGGACCTGCAATCTGTGGTCACACGGGAAGTCTGAATGCAACTTGCTCCAGGGCAAAGCTGGTGCCCGGGCCGCTGGACCATCCTTCCTCATTCAGACTCGCATCCCACCAAACGCTAGCCACGTTTGGAAGCCGTGTACCTTGCACACAAGCCCGGATGTCACCAGACCTCGGCTGTTGTTCAGGCACCTACCTAAATAAATAGCCAGACTCTTAGGAGAGCTCAGCTCCTCAGAGAACCTGGCTCTATAAGTATCCCAGCGGGAATGATGAGTGCTTGGTGTGTCGGGAAGTCAGCCCCAATTGCGGCAGCTGCCCGGATAGCTGGCTCTGAGCTGTTCCCTAAAAATAGCCAGGAAATCCAGGAAGCAGAATGCCGATCTCAGGCTGTGGTTGAGGGTATGACAAGGTTGCACCACAAGAAAGCTGGGGAGAGAACATGACAATCAGGTGTCAGCCCTATGCCGCCTGTCTCTGGACCCTCAGTCACTTTTCTCTGTGGTCTGAAAACAATTTCGGTTCCAGGGGGACCGGCTGCCCAGCAGTACAGGCTGGGATGTCGGATGGCTGAGTGGCCAGGCAAGAGAAGAGCAACTTTAGTTGCAGAGAAAAAAAACTACCTTAACAGGCACCTTGAATAGCAATGCAAGCAGGATACTGCCTTTGATTACAGATCTTCTCTGCAGAGTGAACTGCCTGCAGGATTGTACTGTGGGCCTCTGCACAGACACAGCGACCAACAGGTCGTGTTTGGTTTTCTGTTCCTGGCTCCAGACAGCAGCAGCGAGTTTGTTTGGAAAGGGATAAGAAAGCCAATTCAACAGGCAGATCCCCCGCATGGACTCCATTTGCTGAAAGCAGCCAAGTGACCTCTTTAAAATTGGGCCCTTAATAGCTGCCCCGAAGCAGGTCAAAGCAGTGTCAGCCAGTTGGGGCCAATTCTTTTTGGGTTCAATCCACCAGTAACTCAAAAGGACACTCACTCCAAAGATCCTTTTCTGAGCTCTGTATGCCCTGACAAAACGAGCACAGCGCTAGGAGTCAAGATCCTTAGGTTCCCATCCTAGCTGCATGACCTGGAGTGAGTCAGTTCCTCTCTCCGCTCTGTTTCCCCTTCTCCGGGGTTACTACTGAATAGAAAGCACCAAGGGAATGCCAAATGTGCTTTGGGCAAGACCCCAGACAGATGTCCCCAGCTTGCTGGAGCATCTTGGGTTTGCAATGAAGCCAGAGGAGTATTTCAGGGTGGGTAACGAAAGATAAAGTATTCTCTGTCCGCGGAAGCCAGCATGGGGGCCGTGGATTCAGAACAGGTTCCACCCGAAAACCCCATCTCAGCTCGCGTCTAACTATAATAAAAGTCACACCGTGGATTTGGAATGCATTAGCTGAAGGTTTAAAACAACCCACTCAGAAACGATATAATACCCAGCAGGGTGCATGGCTGTATATCATCACCACCTATAATAGGTGTAGATGCGACCCAGTAACCACATCCCTGGACACGCACAAGCCAGCGAAGCCTGCCTTAGGCATCCATGCAAGGGGCTGGCAAGGTACAGTTGTTTAGTTAAGAGTGGCCTTCAGCACTGAAAACAACGCTGCGATGCCCTGGAGCCTTGCAAGCCACCCGCCCACTGCTCCACCGCTCTCAATAAGCACGCCTTGCGGCACAAGGCCAGGTCCAGCGTTACCAGCATCTCACTGATAGAGACCCTGCAGCACGGAGATTAAGTGACTCACCCAAGGCCATGCTGGGAGCCTGTAGCAGAGGCAGGGGTAGACCCTGCATCTTCTGAGGCCTGCCCTTCAGCCACCGTCGGACCGTCCCTCCCCTGGGCATGAGGGGACTTTCCGGCCCTCTGTGCCATTGCCTTACTGACTTCCTCCTAGGAAAATCCCCGAGGCCTGATTCCACCCTGTTATCCTCTGTCATACTGCTGTGAACCTCCATGTAGGGATCTCCTCAGGCAGAGGGACCAGGCAGCATCTCGAAGCCCTATGGGATGGAAGGCTATAGAGTGCCTGTGATGCTGTCGCCAAGGGCCTGGAGCAGAAGGACCTCTCAGCGTGCCTCGGTTTCCCACAAACAGGGAGCAACACTGTTCATCCAGAGCACAGCTGCACGTGGAGATCTCAGGCTCTTGCACTGGGTTGGTTTCTCCATTTGCTCCAAACCCTGTGCCCCCCCGCTCCCCCAAATGCCCGGCGGCCCCACTGAAGTAGAACCACTGGCTTCCCTGGATGGAAATCAGTTCTTCCCCCCGTGCGCCGCTCCTTGCTTTGAATGGAGCCCGTTGCCTTTCCACTAGCCCTTTCCCTGCCACCTGGGCAAGCAAGCCCCCTCCTCCTCTACCTCTCGCATGCTGCAGCAGTGATTTGGCGGACACAAAGTGCAACAGTCCCTATGCTGGAGCCTCAGGCTGGAGATTGCTATTTCTTCCCTTTCGGCGCTGATGCCACCATGGAGCCCAGCAGCCTGCAGGGCTCATTCTGGCTTGCTTTCATCCAGAAAAGAGCCGGCTTGTGAAAGCATCTCTGGCACAGCCTTGTCCTGACCTGGCGAGGGTTTTGGCTGCAGATGAGCTGTATCAGTATCGTTCCCTACCCCGCCGGTGATGAAGGAGAGGATGACTCTGGGGGCAATTTTCCCATGTACTTGGGAACGTGTGAGAGCCCGAGCGATGCACAGGACCGTGACAGCCACAGAAAGTGCGATGGGACACCGCGCTCCCACCCCACGAGGAGCACGTGAACAGAGGTCAGACACGGCAAACCTGTGTACAACTGCCTCTTCCCCTCCCAAGTGCAGCCCTGAAAAGTTTTGTCTTGGAGACCATGGCTTTCTCCTCTCTTCCTCGCACACAGGCCCCCACCTGAGACGGGCCGATGCCCGGATAGCAAACTCCCTGGGGTTTGGGAGAAGGGGGCGGTGGGAGACAGCAGAAAAGAAAGCTCCCACCCCGACCCTGACCCCGATGCATGGGGCAATGCCACCCTCTGAGAAGGAGACCGGAAAATCGCCCTGCTCCGTTTGACACCAGCTGCCTTGCCTCAGTTTCCCCTCAGCTCTAACTCTGCCCCTGCTGCCTCCCCCATAGCCCAGCCCTCCGGCACCAGAAGAGGAACCAAGCCCCAGGGGAACAAGGACGCTCTGCGGGGAAGCACGAGAGAGGGAAAAAGAAAGGGGAACTGCTTCTTTAAAGGCAACCCCAGCCTGCTGGCCCTTTGCTCTGTTTACATTGCCATGTTGCTGAAATGCAACTCCACAACCGGGAAGAGGCAGCTGTACTCACACGGCCGGGAAAGGAGACGCTCTCGCTCACTCACTCTTTTTTCTTTCTTTCTTCTTTCCTTTTGGTTCCTTCTCTCCCACCGAGGCCACCTTCGCTCCCCTGGGTCCCTGTCTCTGCTCTCTCCCCCCGCGCTCGCTGGGCCTCGGAAGTTCAATCCCAGGAAAGGTAAGGAAAGGTTCTTTCTGCAGCAACCTGAGCCAGGAGGCGCTGAGCAAAGGGAGGAGAGAGAGAGAGAGAGAGAGAGAGAGAGAAATCCTCCTGGTAGGGCTGGAGTATTTCATGTGTGACACTGGCCCCTCCCCACAGCTGACATCCCTGCCGGGCAACTGCCAATCCAGGGGTTCGGGCAAGCCCTGCTGGGCCCTGCCGCCTTCCCACAGGCTGTCCCGGCTGCGCAGGGATGGCACGGGAGCCGCACTCCCTCCTGCTCGCTTGGAGAACAAGTCTGGGCTCTCATCTCGCCTGCTGCCAGAGCTGGGAAAGCATACGCACTCACACATGCATGTATATACACGTGCACACACACATGCTCACACACACACATGTGCACACATGCATGTACATGTGCACACACGCGTGCTTGCACACATGTGTGTACATATACGCGCACATGCTCACGTACATGCATCTACACACGTGCACGTACACGCACATGCGTGCACACATGCATGTACATACACGTGCACGCGCTCACATACATGCACATACACATGTGCGCATACACACACGTGCACATGCTTGCACACATGCATGTACATACACGTGCACATGCTCACATACATGCACGTCCATACACATGCATGCACGCACACACGTGCGCATACCCACCTTATGGTAGCAGTACAACACGATGCACATAACGGTACCGTGGGTCGTTGCCGTGCCAGGCAGATCCAAGCGGCCAAACCCGGGCAGGGATTCCCTACTGCTCCGCTCCACCCAGGCTCTGGCTCTGGGGTCCAATTTGGCCCACAGTAAAAAGAGCAGCCAGCGGGAAAAGGCGAACTCTGGAGCTGCCAGAGGGCTGGGACTCCAGCTGGTGGTGGAAAGGAACATGCTTCCCCTCGCTGCAATGGAGTGGTGCTGATTTGCACCCCTGGAGCACCTGGTCCACAGCCATACCAGTTCAGAGGTGCAGGCAAGCAGAGGAAAAGGGAGTCAGCGATGGGTCCAGTTCAGATCTGGTGCCGGGTTCTGAGCTCCCCTCCCCAGAGACCGGGTGCTGAGTGCAGCCTGCTTGCCCCAGGGGTTTCACTGCTAGCAGCCGCCCCTTCTCCCAGGGATCTCAAGAGCGCTTTGCTGCTGCTCGCAGGAGCCCCTGGCAAGGAGGCACCCCAGAGGTGTTACCCTGGGGGGAAGGAAGCCCATCCACACCCTGGCTCTTTCCACCGGCCCTCAGGGACTTGCAGGGGCTATCAGCAGCTGCGGGCAAATGCTGACAGCCCCTGAGGCTGCTCTAACCCGCAGAGGGAGAAAAATGGACCCTTGGGACCTCAGCACGTAGCTTCCTTTGCCCATCTCCCCTCCCCTGGCACCTTCACTGGGGCCTGGAGGGATGAAGCTGTCTCAGAGCATGCAAACTCAACGGCTCCGTCAAACCAGCCTACCTCTCCCCTCAACGCTCCTGGCTTTGGAATGGGTTTGCCTGCATCTTGTGCAAGGAAATCTCTGCCTAACGCATCTCTGCTGAGTTACGCACTTTGAGTCATCTTCATCTTCCCCACTATTTACTCTATTATATTTAGCTTAACACAGGCAGCTTTCCAAAAATAGACAACCATGGAAAATATCAGGCATCGAGGGGGTGCCAACCTCATCTGTTTGCAGCTAATTAATTTCTTATAAGCCCTGCTATGTGGATCCCCCCCCCTCAACCATCTTGGCTGTCACCAGAATTTCGGTAATTAATGTAATCTCAGGTTAAAATTTCAGGGCTGTGCAAAAGGATTCAGAAATAATTATGTGGTTGGGGCCAGGAGTGAGAGAAAGAGATGCTGACAGCAGACCTCTGCAGGGCATGGTACAACACCTGAGACACCGGCCAGCATAGCAGGAGAGCACAGGAGCGAGGGAAAGGGAGGAGAGGCAGATAGGATGGTGACCCCCAAGTCCAAGGGGATGCAGGCTTGCCCACCACCCCTTTTCTTTCTGTCTCACGATGGAGACAGCCCCATTGCTGGAAGCCTGGGAGGTGAGCGAGGGGACAGCGTTGCAACAGCATACAGACCTGAGCAATGGGGAGAGAGGAGCTCCAGCCAGGCTGTTTCACCCCGATGTTGTTGGGTCACCTGAACATCTCTGCTTACATGGCCCAACAAGGTGGGTAGGTGCTGGGTGGGGCTTGGGGCGTGTGAAGGATTCAGCATCCCGACCCCAACACCAGGGCAACTGGGAACATGCAGGCACGTCCCGTTCCAGCTCTCTCCTCCTCTGCAGGCTTCTCCAGCCACAACTTGTTGCACATCTCAGCAGACACCCCAAGGGCTGCATGGACTTGGGAGGCCGGACTCCCCCTTTGCCCCCAGCATCAGAACAGCTCCCATTGCTGCTCAGGTTTGGGGCACACTGCAGAGGGCTGTCTGCTGGCGAGGGGGGACAGATGGCTTTGAAGAGAAGGCTGGGGGAGTGAGACATGGGACTAGGAAATCTGGGTCCAGCTTCCTGATCTGCGTGACCTTGGGTGTGTCCCTTAGCTTCTGTGTGCCTCAGCACCCTGACCTGCAAAATGGGGATAACAGCCCACATGCTGTCTCCTTGTCCACCGGAGACGGCAAACTCTTTGGAGCACAGACAGTCTCAGTCTGTTGAAGTGCAAAATGGAGCTTTGATCTTAGCATAGTAGCGGTCGCTACTATTATAGTAGCTACAGTTATAGCCAAAGCTCTCTCCAGTGCTGTTCATTTGGCACCTTGCATTCATTTAGAACCAGAAAGCAAAGCACGACTGCAGGGAAGCCATATCTAATGAGGAGCGCGAGCCCATGGCTGAGGACAGACAGAGAAATCGCCAAGAGAAGCAATCAGCTTGGGAGGAAGAGCTGGACCTCGGTGCGAGAGGAAAGAATCCTAGAGCCAATTAGTGGCACAGACAGAAGCCAAGGAGATGCATCCCCCCAGCTGCTTACTGGGCCATAGCATTTCTCATACTCCAAAAAAAACACAAAGAACACAAGGAAAATACAAAGGAGCTTGCTGGCATGCAAGGGAGAGGAGAAATTCCTAGAGCTAGCTGGCTGTTCAGACACCCTGGGAGAGCAGCCAGATTCCTCCAAATGTGAGATGCTCATCGGGATGTGGGTCAGGAACACAGCACGCTGGAACACAGCACCAGATGCCACGCCGTGGACCGAAGCTGAACCCCCGTCACCAGCAACATCCCACAACAAACCGTCCCTCGGTCTGTGGAGGGCAGCAGGGTCAGACGGTCGCTGGTCCTAAATCTGGCACGTATCAGCAGAGGCCTCCGAGAGAGGGAGCGGTGCATTGCTGAGGTTGTGCCTGGAAGGCATGTTTCAAAGAAGCCAATGTAATGGCTGAGTGAAACACAGGCATGCTGGTTTCTAAGTTTGTGTTTTCTGCACCATCCCACGGACGTTCATGAAGAAGGGCTGCCGAATCACGTGTGCGAGCATCGCATTTCACGGGGAGATGTTGCTGAACACACGCCTGTTGCAGGGAGGGTCGTTTGGCGAAAATAGGTCGGGTTCAGATGCCGTGACACTTTGCAGAAGCCAGTGACTGTGAGCTCTGCCCCTCCATGGGGGAGATCTTGCTCCATCCCAGTGCCCTGAGGCACAGAGCAGTCAGCAGGTCAGACCAGGCCAGTGAGCCAGGCTGTTCTCCGACAGCAGCCACAAGCTACTCCACTAGATGCAGCCACAGAAATGCTGTCAAGTTACTGGGGGGCAAATCCAGGCACCAACAGCTTAGGCTGCAGCTGGAACCTCTACAGCAGCAGAGACATTCCCATGGGAGATGGGGCACATCTGTCCCCAACCCCCTCCCTGCAAAGGCCATCATTCCCCTTTCTACCAAAGCACCTGCTAACTTTCCTGCCCCTAACATGGGGCCCCTGCTCGAGCAATCCCATGCCCTGCTGCAAGGCTTCAGGCCGGGGATGCTAGTTGCGGGCTGCAGAGAAGGCGGGCTGGAGCATTTCTGGGAGCTGCAGGAGAGACTGCTGAGCTCTGAGCAGCATTTTAATCACGGGCACTAGGGATTCACCGGAGCTGCTCTTATCCACAGCGTTCTCCTGCAATCGGTGCATCGGCACCCTGCGGATCAAAGGGGGTGCCCAGGAAACAGAGCAGCCCACTGCAACACCCGGGGCAGTGCTCCACTGCAGACACCAGTGCCCACCTCCCCTCGCTGGGATGAGGGCTGGCATGTAGTAAGGGAGTGCTAGAGCTAGAAACAGATGCCGGCTCATTCCAGACATTGGCTATAGGCATGGCCTTCACAATGCGGCACATCTGACACTGTATTGCAGACTTGCCTCCAGCAGTACAGATGTACTCGGCTAATCCTTCCTCCAGGAAAGAAGGGGAAGGGAGCACGGTACTGTGCAGGGAGCTAGGGTGTGAACCTGCCACCGTAGTCTCCTATGTGCATAGTCTTACCCAGCAGGACGTGTGAGGGACCCTGTGCTTCAGCAAAAGTGGGAAAGCTGCCTGGCTTGGCTGTAGCCTACCCCCCAGGCAATTACAACAGAGCGGCAGCTGTGCTGGAGATTCGCACCCTGGCTTTAGCCTATGGCAGCCTCTTCACAGGCGGAGATCACCTCTCTGCTGTCTGCCATCCCACGCACTTTGCTCCATCTCCAAGCAGTCACATCTGGGCAGATCCCAGAGGATTCCTGCCAAAGCACTTAGAGAGGATCATGTGCATCTTTTCTCCTCTGCTACACGCTCATGCTTCGCTCAGGCAGAGGCACCCGACGGCTCTTTGGGGAGAGCTTTTTGAATCTCACTCCTAAGGAGCACTTTACTTCCCCGCTGCCCTGACATTTGAAAGCAATGCGAGCACCGACACAGGGCAATAAACCATGTCCCATCTCCCCGCGGCCCATGTAAGGATACTCTCTCGTATACGAGCATGGAAACCATTGCCAATAGGCAAATACTGGACTGAAGCAATCATGGAAGCATCTGGTCTGACCTTTAAATGAAGCACCAGCAACTCACCCTGAAAAATGTGCAATCGGGGTGCGTGCTTTCAGATGTGCTGCGCGTGGGTTTCCTAGGAGCCGGGCAGCTGCCAAACCTCC